AAAAAAAAGCTGGGAGCTACCTAGACTCTATCTCCCTCATATCCCACCTAAGAACCCCAAAATTCTAACCTCAAAATAGGTCTTGAATCCGCTTTCTCCATTCTTTTTCCACAATGACAATAAAGTGATCTCTCAAAAACAGAAGTTTAATTGTGGCTGTATACTGCCTAAAATGCAATGGTTTTGTACTGTCAATAAAGCCAAGTCTTAGCTCAGTTATCACACTCTACAGGGCCCTTTATGATCTGACTCCAGCCTAAATGCCATATTTCCTCCTCCCCACGACAGTTCTTTATTCTCCAAATACAATGAATTGGTCTACGGCCATGCCACCCCTAATGTGCCCAATCCCATCTGATCTCAGAAGCTAAGCAGGGTCAGGCCTGGTTAGTACTTGGATGGGAAACCACCTGGGAATACTGGGTGCTGAAGCTTAAAAAAATCCCACTGAATTGTTTTGTTTGTAGTTCCCTAGATATCCACTTGTTTCAGGCATGTATACATTGCACATACTATCCCCTTGTCTAAAAGATCTCCCATGTGTTTTGGCCACACAAAACCTTTTTAGTGAACATTCAAATCTAGCCCAAGGATTATTGCATCACAATCTCCAGGTGCCTTCCCTGATGCTCTCCTCCAGTCAGAGTTAACATACCTTGTTTCATTATACTTTGATGTTTGAAACATTGCTTGCATTGTTGCACACATCCCACTGTGTTATAATCTATTTGTTTAGATGCCTGCTACCCTACTAAACTGTGAGCTCCCTAAATTCCTAATGAATGTATCTCCATCATCTTCCATAGTGTCTGGCACATAGTAGTGGCTTTGTATGTTAGCTGAATGAATGTATACATACTTAAATTAACTAGTGAACCTAAAAACTGACAATCTCTTATATTCCTTCCCTTAGATATTTGCATTTGCTGAACCCTAATGAAGTATTTTATGGTAGAATTTAGATAACATAATGAAGCAAATTTAAAAATTCAGGCAGTAAGGGAGAGAGGTCATTGAGTCTCTTCTATATCTTCTTCCATTTCTTTCCAAGGCTTCAGATTCTCTAAGAAGTCCAAATTTTTTCACCTTGACTCTTGTGGAAGTGGCAGATGTCACTCTACAGAGAAAAGGCTGTGAGGGATTTGGAGATTAATTCTATTTTTACTTTTCTAGTGAAATTTTAGAATTCTACAATTTGTCTCAATCCTTTCACAAGTCATAATTTTATTTATTCTTTTGCCATTGTTTGCTCTAATTATTGGGACAAATTGCATGACAAGCATGCAAAAACTTTTTTCCCCTATTTTAACACAATTATTTCTTATCTATTACAGAAGAATCTGATTGTAAGGTCATAGTTTATAAGTGTAACCATATTTTATCAATCAATTATCTGGTTCTTCAAGCACTACCATAGCTACTAAAATCCAAATACAATTATTGAGTTTCTGTGCTGTATTATTTTAGTGAGTGATTTATAGTGTACATCATTAATTTCTCACAGTCTACTATCAAGTGATATTGTTCACATCTCGTAGAGTCTAAGAGCTTTACAACAGTACACTTGCATTTATCCCGTCCCAGACTTTGTACTGTCACAATTTTATTTCTACATGTGTCATAAGCTCAATAATATAGTGTTATTATTTTCCCTTCAAACAGTCAATTATCTTTTAAAGAGATTTAAATATTAAGAAAACAGTCTCTACCCACATGACGATATCTGGTATTTTTCATTTATTGGTATAGATTCAGATTTCCATCTAGTACCATTTTATTCTTGTTTAAAGGACTTATTTAAACATTTTTATAATGCATGTCTGATAGTGAAAAATTCTTTCAGCATTTAGGTGACTAAAAAAATCTTTGTTTCACTCTCATTCTTGAAGGTATTTTCTGTGTGTAAAAAAATTCTACATTGACCAATTTTTTTTCTTTCAGTAAAGAAAAAAAGTTTTTGCCTCATGGTCTTCTTGCTTGCATTGTTTCCAAGAAATTCACAGCCAACTTTACTTTTGTCCCTGTAAATGTAACGTCTTTATTTTTCTGGTTGCTTTTATTTCCTCTTTATCACTAATTACAAGCCTTCTGATTACAATGTGCCTTGTTGTGGTTTTCTTCGTGCTTTTGTTCTTGGGGTTGGTTATATTTTGTGGATGTTTATGGTCAGAGTTTTCATCAGATCTGGAAATCTGTCAGCCATGAACTCATTTCATAATTCTTTCAGAGACTCCAATTACTCCAATATTAGGAATCTTGAAGTTTTCTCACATTTTGCTGATTCCCTGTTCATGTTTTATAGTCATTTTTTCTATTTCATTTTGGATAGTTTTTATCTATGTTTTCAGGTTCACTAATCTCTTCTTCTGTAATGTCTACCCTGCTGTGAATCCCTTCTACTGGTTGTGTATATGCATCATACACACACACACACATGCATGCATGCATCATACATATATACACACACACACACATATACATACACACACACACACATACACACACACATATATTTTTTAATCTCAGACATTGTAGTTTTCATCTCTAGAAATGTGACTTGGTACTTTTCAATATTTTTCCTTTACTATAACTTCTTTTACATATGGAATTGTTTGAGTGTCTTTTCATTCATTCTTCTGTTTCCATTCCAGGTCAATTTTGATATATTTTTCTCTTCATTATGGATTATTATTTTCCTGTTTCTTTACTATGTCTGGTAATTTTTTATTGGATGTCAGACACTGTAAATTTTACCTTGTTGAGTGCGGGATGTTTCTGTATTTATATAAATATTCTTGAGTTTTGTTCTAGGATGCAGTTAAGTTACTAGTAAAGACCCTGATCCTTTCTCGTATCACTTTTAAATTTTGTTAGGTTAAGACCAGAGCATCGTTATCCCAGAATTAATTTTCTCCACTCTTAAGACCCTTCTGAATACTCCTCCTGATGCACCATGAATTATGAGGTTTATCATGTTAGCTAATGGGAGCAGCACTACTCCCGGCCCTGTGTAAGCTGTAAAGACTGCTACCTCTACTCCCTTTGTCAACATTCAGTAACATTAAATTTGTATATAACATATAACCCAGTAATTCGCTTATGGAGAAACAGCTGCAATTTATTAGAAGACAATTATAAGGATATTCATTGCAGCATTATTTGAAATACTGGATAAGTTAAAGCTTCCTAAATGCTTTAACTTATTCCTAAATCAGTAATGGATAGATTTATCAATGTTGACAAATTCACAGGACACAATAATCTGTAGTAATTAAATCAATGAACTAGAGCTATATGTATCAACATGGAAAGATGTGAAAACAAGGTTGAGGTAAAAAAAAAAGTTGCTAAATGAAACATGTAACAGAATACCATTTATGTAAAGTTTTTTTAAAAAAAAAATCAAGAACAAAACCATTAATTTTTTTTTTCACATATAGTAAAATTAAAGGTTATTAGTCAAGATATTGTGGTAACGAACAGCTCCACAATCTCACTGGCTTAACAAAAGGGTTTTTCTGTTGTTGTTGTTGTTGTTGTTGTTGTTCATGCTACATAATCCATGCTGAAAAGAAGAAAGAAAGGAAGGAGGCTTTGCTCATCACAGTCGATCTGGGACCTAAGTTGAAAGAAGTTCTGCAATCTGCCTCGTTTACTTTAGCAGGAAGAAGGATAAGAATGAATCACATGGCTCTGAAATCTTCCACCCAGAAGGGATACATGTCATTTCTGCTCACACTTCATCAAAACACATATCATATGTCCACTCCTAACTTCAAAGAGGATGGAGAACTATCTTACCTCACGCCCAGAAGAAAAGAACAAGAATCTGTGAACGGCTCTAATAACTACCACCATATAATGACAAAGTATGGAAAGTATGTACCAAGTTCATAAATACTTGCCCCTAGGTAAGGAGGGAGGGAAGGAATGGAATCAGAGACAGGTAGAAACTGAATTTCATTTTTATCTGTAATGTTCCTTTTACAATTTTTAAGTCAGAAAAAAAATAAATGCAGAATTCTTGACCATACTACCAGAGATTTTTATTCAACAGATCTACATTAGGGCTCTTGCAGGTGTGTATATATTTAAAGGCAAAAAATATCTTTTAAAAACATTTTTAAAATAAAATATTTTTATAAAACATTTACTAATTTGGGAATGGTTGTGTATATAGTGGTTATATCATCTTCCATGCTTTTCTTACTTTTTTACCATCTCAAAAATGTTTTTAGACATTTACATATCATATGAATACAGAGGAAATAATCTAGTTTAGTCTTTTAAAATCACAGATATACTAATACCCAGAAAAATTAAATGATTTTTCCAATTTTCCCAGCTAAGGTCAAATCACACAGTGTGCTAAGTCCAGTAATATATTATTAAAATTGAAGGATACCAAGCCTATAAAGGATATTCTTTATAACACATTACATATAGAACTTCATTATTTATATTCATAAGGCTCTAGTAATACCATATTATGTGATTAAAATTTAGGAAACTAACATTACCTTCAGAAAATAAATTGTATGAGTAACATTTATATAATTTAATGCTTAAGAATTTCAGAGATTAGCTTAAGAACTAAAAGGCACTATACTAAAAGGCACTATATATACAATCAAAATGGAATCAGATGCTTAGAACTGAAATCTTACCTGTTCGCTTATTTCTGTCCACGTAACAATACTTTAACTCATAATCTTGTAATAAATCATGAACTTCCTGAAAGAGACAAAATATGAATTCAATTAATACATAAATGCAGTTAGTGGATAATCCAGCTGTATTAGTCTATCAGGTTCACCATCACCACTCTCCACCATGTAAAAAGTCTTCCATGCATCTCTATTACTTATTTAAATTAAAGGCATTCAAGGCCCACCAGACATAGCACCAACCTACCTCTCCAGATACAGCTCCAATACAATCCCTACTCATTCCCATATTTCCACTCAAATGAATGTTCAATTGTCTCATGAGTATACCACACACAGTCCTTATTCTGTACTTCGGTTTACGTTGACACCTTGATCTAGCATGGGGCAAACATACCATTAGAGCTTCCAAACTTCACCTCAAATCACACGCATCCTTTGAAATCCCAGCTCAAATGTTCTTCCATGAATCTTTTTCCAGTTCTTTTCTATAGAACATGACCTCTCTCACCTCTGTGCTAATAATGGTCATACTTTATTTATGCCTCTCTTATAGAAAAAATATTAAACATTTCTGTTTGTGTATTACATACTAAGTTTTTAACAAGTAATAAACTTGTAGATGATTGTAGTACCAGCATGGAGAATAAATAAATGTAGACTGCAAACCTAACTTAGAGATCCCTGGGTATGAAAACAATTAACAACCACCAAGACACGGTATGTAGTTCAGTTGATTCCCCAAGATGTTTACACTGGCATGCTAGTTCATACTGCTTCATTATTAATCCCGTCTGAACTCGTTTCTTCTGATTTCTTAACTTCCATTCACCTTGGGGCCTGAAAAAGTAGATTTCTATCCCTAATCCTTGCTGTTAAATTGACAATGCTTGGATAAAGGAACCATATTCCATTTCTCATATATTTGTACATTACCTGTATAGCTTTGCATATACTAGGCACTCAAATAGACATTAAAGTGAATATAATTATTTTTCAATAAATTGCTATTCGACCTTGAAAATTTTACTCATAACACACAACAGACACAGTTATTATTTTTTAAAGGAATTGGACTATCACATTGGTGGACATTCTGATCCCAGCCAACCTGTTCTATATTACAAGTAAATAAACTAAACATATACAAATGTTACTTTGTTAAGTTTACAATCGAATTAATTCAATAATAATTCTTAAAACTGCCATTATTATAGTTAGCATTCATTTAGCTTTTACTAGATACCAGAGCACTGAACTTATCCCTTTTATTGGAAATCAGGAAACCAGAGCAAAGTCAACTTGCCAAAGTCAAATATTTAGTCACTTGCTGAATGAAGAAGATTCACCAATCAGTATGGTTCCAGGGACCACATTCTTAATCTCTATGCCATACTGCTAATTCTTTCCAGTATTAATTAAAAATAGTAAACTATCACTAATAGTTACAAAAACGATACCACTAAAGCCCTAAGAAAAGATCATATGGAAATGGAAATAAGAGGGCAGTTACGAGTTGAGAAATACTTTCCCTTTTAAACCAATGCAAGGAAAGAGGAAAAGAGTGATATGATAGGTAAGTATCAGAACAATGCTGGGTGAAAAAAAAAAGGTAATCACCTATGATAAGAAAGATAACCAAGGTAAAGTTGATAATTCAGTATTCCTTATTAGTAAGTCAATATTAGAAATGCTTTAAACTACATATACTTAACAATTTTGTAAAAGTTTGATGAATTATATCGTAATGTGATCAATATACAAATTAGTTTATACATTAAGGTACTTTTTTATATTTTAAGCTTTTTTCTTTATTGAAAAGCTTTTCTTGGACTTAAAAAAAACATAACACTGTATTCTACATCAAGAACATATTAACTCTCTCAATAGCATAACACATAGATCTTGCCAATCAGCTATGTTAATACTTTATGTAGTAGGTGACACGGTTTTGAAGCCATCCAGTGTATGATTCTAATTGCATCGACTCTAATCTCTCATTTCACTAGTTAACAGCTGTCAAATGCCAGATAAAGAAAGCATGATACTGCTCTTCGCATTATCAAGTACCCGTAAACAAATAACATGTTACTCCTTCAGCTAAGGGAATTACCCGAGAAAGATCTCAAGTTTTCAAAGAAATTTTATTTTTAAAATATTCATATTTCTAATCATGGTTTTTCTATATCTCAGATGCGGGATGCAGATTTTGCCAACTGAGAAACTTTACAAAGCTTCCTGCAAAGAAAAAAATGATTATTTTTCTCCATGCCCTGGTTTTGACCCAGGCAAAAGTGGGTCACCCCTCAATTTGAGCCTTGGTAAGTTGGCCAAATTAAAAACTTAAAACCTGAAAGAGTCCTAACAACTGTTTGCCAAAATTCTACCATGCTCTACCACAAAGAACCAAAAGGACTAAAATTTTATCTCCCTATACTAATCCAGATTTATGACATTTCTATTAATTTACAAGCTAAATTTAAGGAACAACCTAGTATTTTTGATGAAAACGTTTTGTCCTCTAACTGGCAATATTGCTTATAGATTTCTTACAGTAAGATGAGTTCATCAAAATTGATACTATTAGATAGCTTTAGTAATCTATTTCCAGACCAAATTCACTACCACTCCCTTGAATTAAATGAAAAATTTTCCACATATGAAATGTCTCCTGGGCAGAGGATCAATAGCTTTCAAGTCAAACCAGTTAGTCAATGACACTGCAAGGTTAAATAACTTTTGTTCCAACTGTTGTGGACTTCTCTCTGAATGACACCCAGCCTTAGTTTTAAACCTGAATCACAATGTCTTCTAAGCCCTTCACAGACTTTTCACACAAAAGTTTTTTTCTAAGAAAGTCTTTCATAGATTAAAACGCTTTTCTAAATTCTTTCAAATTTCACTTTTTAAAATAAAAAAAGAGAAACAAACACTTGATTTTCTTTAAAACTTTTAAGGGATTTGATAATATGAAAATATTAGCTGTAACATATATTAAGTTCTGAGTCATAATAATGAAATAAGCACCCAGGAGCTCACCACCAAACTTAAAGACTAGAACACTAGTAACATTGTTCCATTGACTTGTTTGCTAGCCCATCCCACCACTTTCCCCCATAGCTGGGGTTCCTGACATAGGTATGTATCCCCAAACAATATGTTGTTTCTCAGCTTTATAAAAATGGCATTATGCTATTTTTAAGCTGTGTCTTGCTTTTTTATACTCAATATAATGTTTTACAAATTTACTCATGTTACACGTGGCTGTTCATTTATTCACTACTGTTTGATATTCCATTCTGTACCTAAAGTATGGTTTATGTATCTACTTTTCTATCAATGACTATTTGATTCGTTTCTAGGTTGCTGTTTGGTTACGCACGCGTGCGTGCGTGTGTGTGTGTGTGTATTTAAAACTACTATCACATTCTTATAAATTTTACATTCATATTTCGTTGTGTTCATATACAAGAATTTCTGAAGGAATGAAATTCATGGGCTGTACACATGCAAATGATCCTCTTTATATAAAAATGCCAACTTATTACTGTTTATGTTCCCATCAACAGTACATTAAAATCTCACTAAGCCATATAAAATTCTACCTCATTGTGGTCTTAATTTGTATTCACTTGATTAACAAGGTAGAGCACTGTGATGGTCTTATGTATCAACTTGGCTATAATATCCACTTATTTTATTAAACACTAATCTATGTGTTCCTGTGAATGTATTCTATAGATTTAGTTAATATCCATAATCATTTTACTCTAAGTAAAGGAGACATCTCAGATAATGTAGGTGGGCCTCATCCAATCAGCTGAAGGCCTTAAGAGCAAAAACAGTTTTCCCAGAGAAGAAGAAATCTTGCCTCAAGACTGCCGAATCAACACTTGTCTGAGTTTGTAGCCTGTTATCCCTTACAGATTTTGGACTTGCCAGCTTTCTCAGTCAGTCAGTCAATCAATTAATCAATCTCTATATGCGTGTCTATATAATACAAATCTACATGAATACAAATATTATACATACTCTGTTTCTCTGAAGAATTCTCACTGATATAGCCATCTTTTCATGCTTAGTTGCTGTTTATTTCCTCTTCTGAGAAACATTCACTCATTTCTAGCACCCATTTTTCTATTGTGTTTGTCTTTTATTGACTAGAAGGGTTTTTTTTTTCCCCCCCAAACATATTCTGAATACAAATCCTCTGTTGGAAACTATTTTCTAAATGTATTCCCCTAGTATATGATCTGTCATTTTGTCTCTTTGTGAGTTCTTTTGGAGAAGTTTTTCATTTTAATAAAGCCAAATTTGTCAATTTTTTTCTTTACAATTTGTGTTCTTTGTACCTTTCCTACTCAAGGTCAAAAAGCTATTTTGTCTTCCTTTAATTTTTAAGTTTTCCTTTGACTTACCAGTTTGCTTATCAGTTTTTAGTCAGGTTAGAGTTTAGTCAGTTGGAGTTAGCCATGTTATACTAGCTACAATTTCTAGCACAATGTTGAATACAGGTGATTCTTGTATTGCTCCTAATCTCAGGGGGAAAGTTTTCAATATTTCACCACTGAATATGACTTTTAGTTTTTCTAGATAATCTTTAGTTTGAGAAAGTTATCTTCTATTCTTGTTTGCTTTAAGTTTTTATTGTGAATGGGTATAAAATTTTGTCAAACATTTTGAGGTCTGATCTTCATGCCAGTAATCTCCAAATTCTTATTTCCACCATAAACGTCTCTTCTAGGCTCCAAACCTATATACACTATTGCTTGCTTGGAACTGCATTTGGATGAACTACACCAGATAATATTTTTTTCTTTGGTCTAACATGGGGCCTATAATATTCTTTGTGATACCAGATGAGTAAATGTAGTGTCAATTTTAACTTGCCTAAATTTTTAACAGCTTTTGATGTAGCTGTTTTCCTGAAAAGTTAATTTGAATAAGCAGCTTTTTGCTAGGGGAACATTATGACTTGGCCTAAAAAAAATTAATAAACTTTCATGGTTTTTTTAAATTATTATTATTAGCAGTATAATAATATATTACTGAGTGCTTATTTTATTC